GGAGAGATGGTCAAGTGGAATGTGACAATCACCGGTTCTGATAGGGGGGTGCCTGGGTGGGAGAGTGGGGAACAACAATAAATAGAATACAGGCGCACTGTTATTGAACTGTTCAATGAACTGTAGCCTTGGTCAAGGCGTTCGTCTTTATCCGTTCGTACGGCATTCGGCGGCGCATCCTCGCCGCGCGCTGACTGCGGAAAGCTGGCGCTGTTTTGGAGCAGTGCATGTAAAAATAAAGCGCCAACAGCGACTGCATGCGGCCACTGCTTTTATGCAAATAACTTGGATTTACACCTAACGCCATGCTCCAATCGCCCGCGTGAGGTTTTGGCGGTGGTGCTCGTAATGCTAATAAGGCGTTTTCTTCTTGGTCGATTGTTGCATGGAAATTCGCCTAATAATTAGCGCGCCGTGAAAGGTCATATAGCGACAACGTGTGCACACACGTTGTGTGTCTCACATTACACAAAGCACCGATTACACAAATATGTGGTTTCTGACACGTCCGCAAAAGGCAAATGGCTGCAAATAATTGGATGATGTCAGGATTTACTAAGTTGTGATTGGACATTCCCCATATTGACCCCGCCTACATGTATTGAGGTCGTGGGCTAGAAATCTAGCGCAAAATAAAGACAATCATTTAAGCTTTCGCCGCGCGTAGGACCAAGGCGTTTGATCGGATCCAAATGATTTTCATATCAAAAGTGGCCGCATGAGGTCGCTGTTCGCGCTGCATTTTTACATGCATTGGCGAGGATATGCCGCCGCTACCCACATGGACGGATAATAAATGACGAACGCCTTGACCAAGGCTAAGTAAACTGATGAAGACTGGCTTAAGGAATAATATTGCTAAAGGAATAATACCTACAATTATTGTTCACATATTTTTTTTTAACCATTGGCTTATGCCACCTTGAATCCACTTAGAGCCACTACTTTACACGGTGAAATGAATACACGACCAGCTGCAGCATATACACACGCCATGGGGCAGAACAGACTAATCGGGGCCTCGATTTTTTTTCCCTAAAACAAGATCGAATAATATCAAAAAAGGGCGCCCTTTCTGCGTGCGTGATGCATATTCATGATGTTCAGGCTTTGGAAAATAAGTTATATAACAAGGAATGATTGTGTTTAAATCACCAACGATTGGCAGCTCATACGTGGACTGGTTGGAACACGGATCCTACAGACAAGGATAAATGACTGTTCTGAGCTGAGCGGATTTGCCTTAATTGATTAGACGCGTGATAACGGGCATTAATACCCTTGCAATTGGCCTGCAATCGCGAATTTTCCAGATGTGCCATTGTGTCGTTTTTTTGCATGACATCTTAAACGAAAGTTTTCATAAAACTGTATGCAAAACTACTCCTTATGTAGGACAATGTTCTTCCAATTTGTTAAAAACATAAATACTTCAGGATATAACAGATGGTATCGTGCAGTTTTTGTCGTCATAGATGAAGTATTTACCCGGGAAATGAACGTCAAATTTCGAGGAAAACACCGTTTACCCAAATTTTGTTTTTAATTAGGCTTTTTTTAAAAAGTTTTAGAGAGATAGGATGCCGAACCGATGACAAAAATCGACATTTCATTGTTCATCTTAAAGCTAAAGATATTGTGCTCGGCATTACCATGGTTATATGTAGTTATCACTTTTCAGACTTCAATAATAAAGACCAAAAACGTAGACTTATGAATATTCGAAAATATAATTCGCTGGCTTGACAGACTTCGAGGCAAGATCGGGCGAAGAGCCTTGCAAATCTGAAAGCACCGCGCGCAATTGTCTTTGAATACCATGAATACTTTTCAACAAAGACCACTTCATAATAATTATAATGAAGGTAAAACAAGTATGTAACTAATTTAAAAGTGCATAACTTCTGAAAGCGGGTGAAGCTACAAAAAAAATGTTTTGGAAACCTCACTGTATTGATTCTGATCACATAAATGCATATGGAATATCTAACATTATATATTATACCATGGGTATATCAAATGTGCTGTCTACTATTTGTTTAATTACTACCAATACAATTATTTCACAATATCCAATAAAATTTCATATATTGCTACAAAATACAAGTTCAGACCATTGATGATTTGACAATTAATTTACGTATATTGTGACCATATCAAAAAAGAAGAGTCTCTTGGACTTTGTGTCCCACTACATTTTAGTGTCCCCATCAGAAAGCAAAAAACCGCAGCGCTCATTTTGATATATCTCGACATCACAGTGCCATAACGAGGCTAGAAGCGCTGAAAGTAATTGTTCAAGTGCAAGTTACTCAAATAAATATCTCTGGCAACGTCATACTGTTTTTAAATATTTACAATGAAAAATTAACACGCTGTCCATTATGCCGTATAGTTACCAATCATACTAGTATTATCACAATATCAAATAACTTTTAATACATTGCTAAGAAATAGCAATATTTTTGGTCGATATTTTTACAAATCCGTTTCAAATGATGGCCGTAGCAGAGCCCACGTGATTGATATGATAGCACGTTTGTTTTAAAGATCACTCAGTTAAACATTTGGAGTGAATTTCGAAATTGAAGCCATTGACATTTGCAAGATATTGCCATTGTGCAAGATTTTTCAAAGGGCTTGTTTCCCAACGTAGCTCGTGTGATTAATCTTGTGACTCGATTTGATGAGTAAGATCCCATATATAATGTGAATTTTACAATATATTATATACTTTATAGTATTACTACTATTACTCACAACTTCAAATAACATTTTAAGCGTTGTACGCTACTGATTAGGATAATTTAGGACCTTGTAATCTACAGAGTGGTCCTACACACATTCTACTTTTTTTATCAGAGGCAGTTTTACAAAAAAAATGGGGACAGATATTGACACCATTTGTAAGATTAAAAAGGTGAACATTTTGCACGGTTATGAAACCTTAAGCAATAAAACAGTACAACAGCAGTTTTTAAACTTCAATTGATGCTTTATTGTATTTGTCAGTTGCGTTGTAGTATATAATAACAGCCATCGAAAGTGATGTTGGGCAGCAAGGAGAGAGAGATAAAGAAAGAATCTCTTCAGATATTCGACACTACAAGATATTGGTGCTCTCTTAATTCCAAAGAGTTTACATTTACTCCATTCGAGTGAAAAATTCCTTCAATCGTAAAGATGTAGTTTTCACTCGAGCTTTGTCGGAAGTGGTTCTTTCTTTAGACTTTTTCAAGCAAACATGAGAATGATTTTCAACCTATTTCACACCTTGGAATTTAAACAGTGATGCATGGTGAAAATGGCGTTGAAAATACAGCTCAAGTTAATAATTATAGGGCATTTTTATTCAAAAAGGAGTTAGTTCAAACATACGTCTACTGAAGATTAGTGGACCAAATTCCATTATTTAGTCAGACAGCTTAGTTCAGATTTCGGAATGGATGTGGACATTCCGGAAAAAGGCGACAGCTTTTTCCCAAATGCTAATCATTACCTTCAGGGTTAATGTTTGGTAGGAACCACTTCATCAAAATATATATATATTGTTACTGTTGTAATTAATAAGGGACGAGAGCCAGCATTGTTTTCTTCAATTTACGGTTACTGCTAAACATCAAGGTTTGCCCGAACACACTCGGCAAAAAACGCAGTTTTTTTTACATAATGGCAAGGTCTTTAAGTTCAAATTGCAATATTTGGCAATACTTTTCTACTCTATAAATACATATTTTTCTAGTCTCCCTTTTCTGAAGTAACATTTTTTATTTTGCTATTAAAGTATTGAGAACGAGACGATTCCATACATAGAAACCTAACTTCGACCTCGCAGACCAACCTCCGAGGGACGACAGTCGAGAAAACTACTGTCGGCACTGGCAAATCTTGAGGAAGTTCGTCTCAGCCAAACGCATCAGTCGAAATTGTGTAAAGGTAATGATTGTTTTGATCAAATCTCGGTGCTTATACTGTTGAGCAATCAGTGGACCATACCATGAATCGTCGGGTGCAAGGCAGAAGTGCATAATAAAGGTATGAGCTTTACGACGCCAAAAATATAATCACTTTTTAATTGCATAAAACGGCTACAATGTTGTCCCGTGCGTATTATAAATCGTAGAAATTGTAAATTTGACTCGCGTATAAATCATAATTTGTGGAACAACTTGTGTGAATTTCCGATGAAAGTTATGTAATTTTCATAAAACACTAGCAGTTTTCTGCATATGCTATTTTGCCGGAAAGAGTTTGGTGATTATTCGTTCTTGCGTATAAGGGGGTAAGTGCCCGTACACCCTTCGGACAGGGAATTGTATTGTTCGATAAGTAATAGTCTATTTCCAATTTTACCAAAATATTTCCAAACCGTATTGCGTAAGTCCAGACTTGTTTGTCTTTGATAAAACCGTATATTAAATTAGTGGTACATTGCCCGGTTCGTAAGTAAAATCGTCAAACACGCGCGCTCACCACGGATTACTAGCGCCCATTGGATAAACGCTTGGGGTGCGTTAACTTCCGGTTCCATTCGTGCTATGCTATACACCGTGTGAAGTACACATGGTTGAAATGAGATGACGCCACACCAACGAACAGGAATTTGGACTAGAGGTTCCAAAGAGCTTAACAATACACTTATACACTATTGTAGATATTTTCTTTTACCTGAAAATGTCCGAGTTTTTTGGTCAGTGCCACTGAAACCAAAAGTATTTCTGAAGTCGAACCAGTTTGTGCCACTTCTTTAAAACTTCAGAATATTTTTTTTTATTTGGGGTTGATTTCAACAGTTCATCATTTTTTTGTATCACTCCCATTGCTGATGCTGGAATATGTTATATTTGTTTTTTGCTTTCAATACCGCAAACCCTCTTCCCCCACCAACAATTTTCGGAATTATGTATTATTTTTTTGTAGAAATACAAATACTTGCGACCCTCTATTCGCCTGGTTTCACTGTTGTCTGTCAATGTGAATCCTTTCCATCACAGTTACGCTTACCATTCGGGTCGTGTCATCATTTCACACCCTTTTAGAGAGACCTGTTTACCCTTCCAGGTGACCCACTGTATCCCCATGTAATCATCGACTGTTGCGTTGTTGTAGTAAAAGCCGTTCAGGTTGCTCTTGAAGTAATCGCCGATGGTGCTACCGCAGTAGCTGTACCACCAGCCTCCCTGGAATTTCTCAGCGCAGTTTTCCCCGTCGCGGTCATTGTCTTTATCTGGAGTTGAGAAGTACCTATAATTATGAAGGCGGAGTGAATCACCTGTGTGCATAAGAAAGGAAGGATCGTCAGACCTTGTGTAAGTATATTAATGGATGGCGAATGCTGCACGGACATTTGCAGGAAGGGATCCAGACTACTAACAAAATGACATTTCTTTTTAGGTATGGTCTCCTTTCTTTATTTTGTTTTCAACGCTGCTTGTAACCCGATTTGTGGGTTTTCTATTTTTGTTACGCTACTTATTTAAATATAGTCCATTGCATGTTAATTTGTGTGTTATGTTAATGGGCAAGCAGCCGAAGGAAGCATTTATTTGGGATGTGAGCAGAAATATATTATTGCCTACATATTCAAACAATCAGTAAAATTAATATCTTTTTTGTGTCAGTCTTTTTCTCTGTAACAATGTTAGGGCACGCCTAGTTGTACGCTCCCTGGGGAAGTTTGAGCGTGTGATTACAAACTGGGGTACGGGTGTGTAGCCTGATGATTAATTGGCAATTGGTTCCAAATAAAGTGATCCAGGGACTCGAATGCTGCAGCTCACGATTTATTTATTGGTAATTAATCGGTTATGAGTGGAAATCCGTCGATGTCAAGAGGCTCTTTGATAATCCCAGTTAGAAATAGAAATGATCAAATTATCACTCAAAATAGTATCTAAATACAAATTGGATACTGGCACAGTCAATATAAAATAATTGAAAATAATCCTGATCTCAAATCTTGAGATGATTCAAATCTCGATATATATATCTCTGTAGAAACTTCAGCATCAATCTTTGTAGTAATCATGGAAACTCTCCCTGTAAAAACTCCTCTTCAAATCCCAGAAGAAATCTCTCCAAAAATGCAGATCCAAATCCTCAGTATAAATCCCCCAGACCGGATCAAAAACCATGCGCTGCCCTCTCTCACTCTTAAAGTCCGCAATGCTAACGGACCAGCGGACCCTATATATCAACGGTACAACCTGAATCAAATGCGGACAGTTGACATTCACGAACGACGATTTTGGAAGGAGATAAACTTCTCAACAACGCTAACTTTGAGCTCGAACTTTCTCAACTTGAGTCCAAAAACAACGTGGAGAAGGAGAGAGAGAGGGGGAATTAACGCGCATGCGCGACTGGCCACATCAAAATACTGCAATGTTATCATGCACGATGAACTCTCAAAAAGTGTCTATAATACATAACAACATTGCAGTCATGAATCCAATATCCTCAATACTATTAATACAATCTTATATAGGACTCCAGGATTATGACATCTGATAAATCACATACCGCTACAAATAGATGAGAATAGCGCAGTAAAGCCAGAATTTTCTCGTAGACAACTGTGCCAGAAGAGAGGTTCAAAAGGAAAAATTCTGAATGCAAAAGGGTATTATGTACCTGCATCTCGACTCTCCGCATTAAAGTCGCTGACATATAGCTCGTACTTGCGCTCAGATGATGGGTGTATCTTAAATTTCCCATAACGAACACGGGCTTCATCCCCATCGAACGCCCTCAGAGTAATGACCAGCTCCCATCCCCAGTTATGAGTCAGACTATACAGCTTCTGGTTGCCTAGCCAGAACTCTCTGGTCATATCCCCGAACCCTTCGGCGTACTCCTGCCAGGTTCGATTGAAGCTCACCGAGCCGTCCAGGCGTCTCTGAAAAACCTGTAAAAAAAGATACAAACAAATATAATTAGCGGCGGCGGAACGGTTTTCAAACTGGGGGCATCAGCAAACGTATATAGCATTTTTTCTCTTTTCGCTTTTCCGCTTGGAAAAGCATTTTTTCTGTTCTGTTTTTTTTTCTATTGTTTCTGTTCTCAATGTTTTTCCTTTTTCTTTTTTTTGTTGCTTTTTTGCCATCAGCGAAAAAGCCATTGTTTTTGTTCTGATTTTTGGCTTTTCCGCATAGTTGCGGAAAGCCTTTCTTTTTGTTCTGGTTTTCTTTTGGCTTTCCCGCAAAAGCGGAAAAGCCTTTCTTTTTGTTCTAATTTATTCTCTTTTTTCCTCTTCTTCCTCTTCTCTTCTTCTCCTTCTGCTTCTTCTGCTTCTTCTTCTTCTTCGTCTTTTTGTCGCCTAAATCCCATAGACTTTGTACACGTTTTTCTCAGTGCCACTTTTGACATTTATCTTTGTCATACATCATTCAAAGTTAGCATAGTCAAAGTCCTTATAGCAGAGATGTGCCCCGAAGAGTGACGTTATGATGACGTCATCATGAGTCACGTGACGTCATCACAAACGTGCATATTTTGAAGTCATATATCTACAGAACTGTAAGTCCGATTGGGTTGAAACTCGGTATGTTGATAGACCGGGATGTGATATAGATAAACATTGAGGTGACGTCATCATGACGTCATGGTGCGATTCTATAAGATTTTTTGAATTGTTGGACCTTTAAGCCATATCTCACGAACGCAACATGCAAAATTCAAAATTCTTTTTGTATTTTGTTTGTAAGGTAATATGTTTTCGCACAAAATTTTGAAAAACGTGTGATGTCATGATGTCGCTATCAAAATTGCGATTTTTGAAAACACAAATAAGGGATAGTCCGATCGTCATAAAACTTGGTGGATAGCTACATAATGGTACTGGTAAGCAAAATCTAAAATGACGTCACCATGACGTCATCGCATTTTTTTAATGATTTGTTTTAATATCTACAATTTCATTCCGCTTCCATATTTTAACACTTCCTTTCATTGGATTAACTTTAAGCTTGGTACAAACCAAGACCACAATGCAAAAATGTGCATTGACAAGTGTTATTAAGATGACGTCATCATAAGGCGTGTGGCGTTATCATAAAGATGCATTTTTTTAAGTCTCTTATTTATTAAGCTATCAGTCCATATGGGTCAAAATTGCGTACGAAAGTAGCTCGACACGTCTGATTTAATGTGGATTTATTTCCTTTTGACGATAATATATATCTTACAGGCACTACATGCTAAATTTAAAAATTCTTGTACCGTATACTTTAAAACGTTGTACATGTATAGTCTGTGGCGTGTTATAGATAAAAAATAATCATAATGCGCAAAAGCCCTATGTTCTGTTGCAAACAGACATAGATCTCTAGTTGGCTGTTTAAACGGCCTTTGTTTCGTTAACATTTTTATTTTTGGCTTTTTCGCGATTTTGCGAAAAAGCCTTTCTTTCTGTTCTCATTTTTTTTTTCATCTTTCTTCTTTTTGTCGCCTAAACCCCATAGACTTTGTGCACTTTTTTTTCTGGCCTCCACTTTTGGCATTAATCTTTGTCATACATCGTTCTAAGTTTGTTTAAGCAGAGTCATCATCTACCAATGACGTCATGCAATCTTCGAGCGCCCTCTAGCGACAGGTTGAACATTTGCAAAAATGTATTTTGAATAGATGTCTGTGGCGAAGTTTGTCGGAATCGCCTAAATATTGGTGTATATGATGACCTTGACCCACTTAAGATGTGTGCGAAGTTTTAGGCCATGACGTCATCAGACCGGAAGTTCCGTTGAAAAGACCTTTTCTTTTTCAAAAATTGCTAACAAATCAATCCGTACAGATATAATATTGAATTGCCCATTAAATGATACCGTAAACATTTGCCAAGACATTGCCAAGTTCCAAGCTTGTAAAATTGTCCACACAGTTGACGCGACGTCGGCAAAAATACCCTTACGCAAGTTGCGATAGAGAGCTGTAAAACATGCACAGGACTTCCACAATATGTATAGCACCTGCACGGACGTTGTACATACGCACATACATCGTATGTCAGTCAGCCCGCAGCGAACGTGTTGCTGAGGTCAAATCCTGTCCACAGTGACCGTTTTAGCCGATTTTCGGCTAACTTTGACAGATTTTATGTTCATGCATAGTCAGGGACGTATTACTGATAAAAAAATCATAATGCAGATAAGCCCTATGTTCTGTTGCAAAAAGACATAGATCTCTAGTTTTTTTTCTTCTTTTTCAGCCATTCCCCATAGCATTTGTACACGTTTTTACAGTGGAAGGCACTTTTGGCATAAAAAACAATCCGATTGACTTTATACTCGGAACACACTTATACCAGCATCTGAAGATGTGCCCCAAACATTGACGCAATTATGACGTCATCACGAGTCACGTGATGTAACTTTATATGCGATTTTTCTATTTTGACCATTTTCTAGCAGAATTTGGCTAGATCTGACAGATTGGGCTATATCTCCAGAACTACAGGTCCGATTCGGTTGAAAGTTGGTATATACCTAGACCGGGATGTCTAATAGATGAACATTAATTTGACGTCATGATGACGTCATCACGTGACATATGACGTCATATTAAATAAACATATTGTGAAGGCGTATATCTCCAGAACTGCAAGTCAGATTGGGTTGAAACTTAGCATGTACCTAAACCGGGAAGTTTTACAGATGAAAAATAAAGTGACGTCACGATGACGTCATCACGTGACATGTGACGTTATATTGAAAGAGCGTATTTTGAAGGCATATATGTACAGAACTGCAGGTCTGATTGGGTTGAAACTTGGTATGTACCTAAACCGGTATGTGTTATAGATGAACATTTAAGTGACGTCACGATGACGTAATCACATGACATGTGACGTCATATTAAATGTTGATATTTTAAAGCCCAATATCTTCAGAACCACAGGTCTGATTGGGTTGAAACTTGGTATGTACGTATTAGGTTCGACAGGCCATAGATATATGCACAAAATTTCGAAAAAGTGTGACGTCATAATGACGTCATAAAAAGTCCTTCATGACAGTTCTTGATAAAACTGTTGCCGAAACAGCTACGGGATTGTCCACAATCACAGGTATAGTTTTTCTTTCTTCTTCTTCTTCTTTTTGTTCCACTTCAAATGCCATTGACTTTGTGCACGTCTTTTCTGGCCTCCACTTTTGGCATTAATCTTTGTCACACATCATTCAAAGCTAGCATAATCATAGAATGTATAGCAAAGATGTGTCCCAAAGATTGACGTCATAGTGACGCCATCGACTTATTTATTATACATTTTTGAATATTTAATTTTTCCCACAGACTTTGTACACAGAATTTTTTTTAAAAATGTCGATTTTCAAATGGCATTTTTGACTCTTTGCCAGTAATTCATTTACACAAATCTTTGTCCAAGCAAAGACCCTAATTCAAACAACATTGTGTAATGATGACGTCATGATGACGTCATCCGGTGTTTATTGATGGGCAATTAAATTGTGACACTTTTAATATTTAAAAATGCATACGAAAAACAATCGTACGCGTCCGCAGCATTCTGTTGCTGACAAGTGGGAGAATAGGTTGAGGTCTTTATTTCATTCAGTGTGCGTGAAATCACGTGACCCTTGCCCCCGGTCCCAAAGCCAAAACCGGAAGTGGCTTATTATTTAAAAGTGGTAATAGATATTAACTTGCTTTTAACGGTGTTAGTCACTTGGCTAATAGTATTCTTCAAATCATTTACCGATGACGTCATGCAATCTTCGAGCGCCCTCTATCGACAGGTTGAAAATTTTCAAAAATGTATTTTGAATAGATGTCTATGGCGAAGTTTGTCGGAATCGCCTAAATATTAGTGAATATGATGACCTTGACCCCCTTAAAACGTGCGCAAAGTTTTAGGCGTAGGACGTCATCAGACCGGAAGTTATAATGAAAAGGTCCTTTTTCCTTTGAAAATTCCTGAAAAATCAACCATGGCAGTTTTTATATTAGTTTTTACTTTAATTGTCGACTTAAGGGTAGGTCTAAAACATTTCAAAGCTTCGAGGCAATAAGCGAACTCGGACATGCAATGCGCACGCTTAACACTTCAGGTTGACAATACCTCTGGTTTAAAACATGCACAGGACATCCTAAATGTACATGTACATACACGTAAGTTGTACATATCGTATGTCAGTCAGCCCGCAGCGCACGTGTTGCCAAGGTCAAATCCTCCCCACAGTGACCGTTTCAGCCGATTTTCGGCTAACTTTGACATATTTTATGTTCATGCATAGTCAGGGACGTATTATTGATAAAAAACAAATCATAATGCGGAAAAGCCCAATATTCTGTTGCAAACAGACATAGATCTCTGGTTTTTCTTACCTCTTGTTCTTGTCCTTCTATCTCAAATCCCCTTCTTTGCACATGTTTCATTTTAGACCCCACTTTTGACCCTTAACATACTTCGATCTTTATGAAACTTGGCACAGAGTCAGAATTTACAGTGAACTCGTGCATCGAAAGGTGACGTCATCATGACGTTATTATCGGTCACGTGATGTCATCTTAAATGTGCAAATGTTAAGACCCTAAATCTAAAGAACTATGAGTTGGATTGGGTTGAAACTCGGTATGTTGGTAGGCCGTGGAGTGTTATAGATAAAAAATTGAGGTGACGACATCATGACGTCATCGTGTGATTTTATATATTTATTTTTAAAGTTTTTGACATTTAAGCCATTTCTCACGAACGCAAATGCTAAATTCGATATTCTTTATGTTTGTTAAGCGATAGGTATATGCACAAAATTTTGAGAATGTGTGAGGTCACGATGACGTCATCAAAAATTCGATTTTGTAAAACACATATAAGGGAATGTCCGATCGTACTGAAACTTAGTGGGTTGGTAGATAAATGAACCAGTGCACATAGTCTGAAATGACGTCATCGACATTTTTTTTTACGATTTTTAAAATATTCACAATTTTATTTTGCTTGCAAAATTTAACACTTTTATTCTATTCGCTTCAAACTTGGCACAGACTAAATCCACAAAAGAATAATGAGCACCGCCGAGTACTGTTTTAATGACGTCATCATGGGTCACATGACTTCATCTTAAAAATTCAGCACGGTAAGTCTGATTGGGTTGAAACTCGGTATGTAGGTAGACCGGGATGTGTTATAGGAAAACATTGAAATGACGTTGAAATGACGTCATAATGACGTCATCATACGATTTTATATGAATTTCGAATTGTTGGACCTTTAAGCCATATCTTACGAACGCAACATGCAAAATTCAAAATTATTCTCGTATTTGGTTTGTTAGGAAATAGGTATCGACACACAATTTTGAAAGCTTGTGACGTCATCATGACGTCATCAAAAATTTTCGCAAATCCCGATAATCATAACAACAATCACCATCAGCTAATCAAGTAATCAACAATCAACATAAAAAATCAACATCTACAACAACATCAACAATCACAGTCAACTAATCATTAATCAACATCAGCATCAACATCAACAATTAACAATCAAAATCAACAATCAACATCAAGCAACATCATTAATAATCGAATCAATAATCAACATCAACAATCAACGTCAAAAATCAACAATCAACAATAAATATCAACAATAAACAACAATAATCATCAATCAACAATGCGAAAAAGCCATATGTTCTGTTAATTAAACAGACATAAACCTCTAGTTTCTTTTTGTTCTTGCCCAAATTCAATAGACTATGTACACGTTGTGTTCCCCGGGCATTTTGGACCTAAAACAAAGTTGTATTCTTATGAACTTGTCCAATGTAAAGACCCCATAGTGACATTGTGTAGCAAAGAGTGACATCACGATGACGTCATCATGGATCACGTGACGATATCTTCAATTTGCAAATTTTAACACCCTATATCTAGAGAACTGTGAGTCCGATTGGGTTGAATCTCGGTAGATATGTAGACCGGGATGTGTTATAGACAAAAAATGAAGTGACGTCATAATGACGTCATCGTATTATTTGATAACGATTTTTGAGCCATATCTCACGAACGCAATATGCTAAATTCAAAATTCTGTCGGTATTGTCTTTGCTAGTCAACAGGTACATAACAGAAAATTTTGAAAATTGTGTGACGTCATTAAGTTTCACCAAAAATGCGATTTTATTAAACACATATAAGGGAATGTCCGATCGTACTGAATCTTGGTGGGTGGGTAGATGATTCTACTTGTTAACAAATCTGAAATAACGTCACGATGATGTCATAGGTAGATTTTTACGATTTTTTTTATATTGAACATTCTATTCTGCTTCCAAATTTAACACTTTAAATCATCCGACTGGCTTCAAACTACAGACTAAAACCACAATAAAATAATGAGCAATGCCAAGTATTGTTACGATGACTATCAATTTGAATTATAATGAACCTTAAATGAAATCTAGTTGTGGCTTTTTGAAATTCAAATGGAGAATTAAGCTTGGCTATGTTCGGGACGAAATTTAAGTATCGCTGTAGGGAATTCGTGTGATTCAAGTGTTAAAACAGCCGTGAAAACCTATATTAACAAAAAATTCGGAAAAGCATATGTCCTTTGCATCGAACAGGCATAGCTCTAGTTTTGTTTTTTATCTTTTTTGGGGGGGGGGGGAGGGAGCACATCTATGCTGAAATGTCGACATATTTTTTTTTTTTTTCACTAGACACTTGGCCTCCGTAAAATCCAATAGTGTTGGGTGGGGAGTGGGGACCATCTTCCAAAATCGGGGCGCTCATCAAAACGACATAATGAAAACTGCGCATTAAATGCCCATTTTTCCGGGTGCATCGTAAGGGCTCTGAGGCACGGACTTCCCACTATTGCTTAGTGGTTACATTGCTTATCTCAGAACCCCTGTGACAAACCTTGGCCTCAAAAACCTATTTCTAAATTGTCCATTCCTCTGAGAGTTTAATTTACAATTCATCCACCACATTTGACATGTGACATAGAGCATGGTTTTAAAATAAAATAAGGAGCTTTACGCACTATGTATCCTTTCCCCGACTCCGGCTCCATGCGGCAGTAGACCTGCATATTCTGGCAGGCGTGCTGGATGGTATACACACCGCTAGTGTTATGACCAGCATCCAATATCTCTTGACAATCTCCAGGTGGCTCCGTTATGGACCAATTGCTTGATATAAAAAGAACGAAATGTACTGATGTATATCTCCAAAAAAAAAATGAAAAGGGGACAGATTCCGTTAAGCTGTCTTATGGTGAATAATGATAATTGAAAGCACAATGTTAAACCATCAGACACACTACTGAGGCAAATTGAAGGACTGTCCCCCTAAACCTTGCTTTGAGTAATGGACGACTGAAGTCGGATGCAGTTGAAAAATCATGTCAAAATTGATAGTAGTTGTTTTGTATTTTGGAGTAGTCAGGGTATCCAAGATTCACACTAAACATTTTTGTTAGGAAAAAATACCCCCAAAGTGGAAAACTGAAGAACGTTATATCACTGCCGTTGGTGGCGCAATGTGTATTTTTTTTTTCAAAGCCATGTTTTTTTCCGAAATGAGGTTTGCAAAGATTGGTAGGACACTGTTGGAGTTCTTGCGGCATATCTTTGGAATACACCCAGCTACTGAAATACATTTGGTATCATTGGAAGGCCTATGATTTGCGCTTTAACTAGAAATAATCACCAAGACAACATTTTCCCCCACAAAATCAAGAAACATTGTACCAATTATAAATGTTTATCGCTACGAAGCGTACGGAAGCCCTTTAGGGCCAGGTTCCTCTTTCTCTTTCACGGCGGTGTGTTTCTCTTTCACGGCGTTGTGTTTCTCTTTCACGACGGTGTGTTTCTCTTTCACGGCAGTGCGTTTCTCTTTCACGGTGGTGCGTTTCTTTTTCATGGTAGCTGGCCTCGTTTTCATAACGGGTAACTCGCGGCCACTACTTATTTATTTTGTAGATCCATCAAATTGTGTAATCCCTTTAGTTCTAAACGACACCTATGTGAAAGGATTCTTAATGTATTGCTTATAATTACGGAAGACGGGGAGTGTCATTCAATAAGGGATGCATATATATTTTTTTTAAAAGCGCCAACATTATTGTGTACAATAATCTGGCTGGCGGTCGCCACATAACATGTGGCAGCCGCCACTTAATATCTTGCGGCCGCCACTTTATATATGCTTGTTGGTGTATGCTGCGTAAATAATGTACACAATACTGGATGGGTGCTCTGACATTGAAGGATGTTGGCGATTACACAGGAGACCCTCTAGACAGGCCAGTTTTCTGTAGATTCCTTGTTTTTGTCAGTTACTTGCCGCGGAAACCTAAACTATTTCTGAAGTCAAACCGGTTTGTGCCACTTCTTTAAAACATAATACCTATGTATTAAACAAAACGCGCAATTATAAGAACAAAATTTTTTTTCGGGGGGGGGGGGTGATTTGTTTGCAGAAAACACAAATACCTTAAGTTCATTTGTCTGTCAATGTGAATTACCTCCATTACGGTTACGCTTACCATTTGGATCGTGTCATCATTTCACACCCTTTTAGAGAGACCTGTTTACCCTTCCATGTGACCCACTGTATGCCCATGTAATCATCGACTGTTGCGTTGTTGTAGTACAAGCCGTTCAGGTTGCTCTGGAACCAGTCACTGATGTCGCTACCGCAGCCGTCGAGCCACCAGCCTCCGTGGAATTTCTCAGCGCAGTTTTCCCGATCGTTGTCATGGTCTTTATCTCGAGTTGAGAAGCGTTTAAATGTTTGACGCCCGAGTGAGTCACCTGTGTGCAATCAGAAAGGGTGACGGATGCTGCATGAACATTGTCATGAAGGGACTGCTTATCAATATCGCATTTAAATGGATTCCTTTCTTCTTATTTAAAATTAATGTTCAGACATGGTCTGCTTTCCTTATTTATCATGGTTATCTAGCTATATCTGTTCATAATTCCAATACTGGTGAAATGCTGCATGGGCATCGAACAAACTAATCGACAGCTTCAACGCTGCTTCTAGCCTGTCTTGTGCTTTTCTATCGGCCGGGTATTTTCAAAATCTTCCCGTAAACCTCCCCAACTAAAAGATTGCTACGGATCTTTAACATATTCCATTGAATGTACAGTCGTCTTAGACAAGCGGCCGGATTAATTTGAGTATTAATTTGAGATGGACGCAGGAACAGATTATTGTCTGCAGATTCAGACATGCATAATCATTTTTATTTTTTTTGTTTGGGGGGGGGATCATTTTGATAGTAATTGGATGAGAGCAGCGCAGTTAAACCAGAATTGTATCAAAGACAGCAGTGCAAGACATGATGTGTGAAAGGAGAAGTCTCAAAGTGAAGGATAATGAAATTAGGATGATTCTGCATACCTGCATCTCCACTCTCTTCACTAAAGCCATCGACAATAAGCGTGTATGTGTACTCCGGTGCGAATACGTGGAAGTATTTATAACGAATATGGGCTTCTTCCCCACTGAACGCCCTGAGAGTGATGACCAACTCCCGCCCTCCGTTACGAGTCAGACTGCGCAGCTTCTGGTTACCCAGCCAGAACTCTCCGGTCAGATTCCCGAATCCCTCAGCGTACTCCTGCCAGGTTCGGTTGAAGCTCACCGAGCCGTCCAGGCGTCTCTGAAACACCTGTCAGAAACGATATGAGTGACGGTAAAACTGGGACACGTTTACCACCACCGCGTTACCATGGCAATGTTTGGGTCGAACATTTGTAGCGAATCAACGCTGTGCTCAGCAAAACCCAAAAGGTTTTCTTTACTGACGTACCTGTGTTTCAGAACACACGTCCAAGAATTTTGGTGGAGTACATACTGGCCATTTCAGACATCAACGAGACAAACAGGTATCAGAGTCTTTCCGTAGTGAAATCTTTCATTTTTATTTTTTGGAAGGATATCAGGATGAACATTCTAGTTGCTTTAATCGCTTTGTCGTTTAGTAAAACTTATGGTTATGTTCAACTTACAGGAACGGATAAACCATTTAGGGGCGGATCAAGGAATTTTCGCGGGGGGGGGTCATCAGCAAAAAAATCAGAAAATGTACACAGGTATTTTTCCTCCTGACACTTGGCGGGGGGGGGGGGGGGGGGGCTGGTAACATATTTCAATAGGGGGCGCTGTTCAAATTCGACGATAATTAGCACTAGATTACAGAATGGTGTACTGTATTTTGAACAGGCAGACATTATACCAGTATAAATGTTTTTTTTGGGTGTCACAGAGGGGGGGGGGGTTCGACTTATTTTTTTGAAATTTGTATGGAAAAAAAAATTGACGGATCAGGGGGGGGTTAACCCCCCCCCCCCCCCCCCCCCTCTGGATCCGCGCACGCCATTTTTAGTTTGTACGGTGCAACTTCCGGTTTCCCGTCAGCTTAAGCGCGTGTTGGTTAATTAATCTCACTGGTTCAGTAATCATCAGTACGCGTATGCACGGTGGTTCCATTATTTTATAGCGATTGGATTGTTTTTCATTAGCACCAACAACATGACTCGGTACAATTTGGAAACACAACTGCCACAAGAATATGTTTCTTAACGTCAAATACATCTGGGGGCCAAATTGGCAAAACACCTTCCAACCATGTTTTTGTGAAATACAGCATTTTCGTCTGAGAAAAAAAAGAACTGACTTTACTCACTGTGTATCCTTTCCCCGACTCCATGCGACAGTAGACTTGCATATTCTGGCGTTTGTGCTGAATGGTATAAACACCGCTAGTGTTCTGACCAGCATCCAGGATGCCTTGACAATCTGCAGGCAGCATCGACGGCTCAGGAATGGTGCTGGCAACAAGTATCGTAGCGGTAGGAGTAGATGCGACAGGTGTCGACCAGGGATGAACTGTAGGAGTCAACTCTGGGGCGGTTTCAGTGGCTCGGAGCGTTGACTCCTCCAGTTTGCTCTCAGTGCAGTTGAACCAACCGCCGATGACCTCAGCAGTCACCTCCGGCAGCATGTCCATATACAACGGTGGATCCTGTCCCTGCATCTCAGGTGCGTAGCGGTGGTAATGACCGCCCAGTCTGACCCCTGTACAGGTGCAAGGATCACCCGGCGGCAGGACAAATCTCCCCATGCGCTGGCCGCAACCGCGTGAGTCTAGGTCGATCATTAGGGTACAGATTTGGGCTGAAACCGAACTGACTACTGCATTATTCAGTGAGAAAAATGAAGACAAAATAAACGAGTGAAAACGTCACGTGAAACCATGGTTACAGCATGGTTATTGTAGTCAGAAGGCTCATAAGTCCGAAGGCTCTTCAGTCCGAAGGTTCGAAAGTCCGAAGAGCCCATTAGTCCAAAAATAGAATAAGACTTATTAATCCAAAGGTTCGATATTCCAAATAGACGATAGGATGCGATAGTCCGAATCGACCATAAGGTTCGATAGTCCGAATGGACAATACGGTTCGTCAGTCTGACACTTCGGATTATCGGACCTCACTGTTAATTCGGACTATCGGACCTTATTGTCGATTCGGACTATTGGACCTTATAGTCTTTTCGGACTTTCCACCCTTATTGTCAGTTCGGAATGTGAGTGCGCTGCACGCGCGTATTAACCGGGATATTTTGGATTTCACGAACTGACATCCTCCAAAGTGCCGCACTTTTTAGAGCACACCCCGTACATTTTCGTTTTTACGAATTGACACCCAAGCATAATGCCGCACCGCGAAAGGGTGTCAGTTCGCGAAACACAACATATCACGGTTCTGTAAATACGCGCGCGGGAGTGTCAGTTCGTGGTGACGGTGACAAAATGAGCCCTCGGACTAATAAACCATCGGATTAATAAACCTTAGGACTATTGCATCAAATGTTCGGATTAACGAACCTTATTTCATTTTAGGACTAACGAACCCTCCTCTTAATGGAGTTTATTTGTGCATTCGGACTTTCGAACCTTCGGATTAAAGAACCTTTGGACTAATGGACCTTCGGACTATCGGGCGGCCCCGAGACCGCATACAGGGCAAGACGTGTGAGCAAGAAGTGTGAGCGGAACATGGCGGATAAGGTGCACCCAAGCCTGCTAGGAAATAGAGTTGTTGCCATGCCAAGTTTGTTTACATGTATGAGGCACAAACGTTAAAAGAAATAGTAGTCAAAGTCTGAAAACCATGCGGTAATTGAGCGTTTACGAATGCAAATTCATGACAAAAATGGGTAGATGTAGTGAAGAATGTTGCCCTTGTGAAATACTGACTCAATGGTTGTACTGCGCGTCTCTTTCCACCTAAAGAGATCTTCACGTACATCATGTGGTCGGACGTACGTTGGATTTTACGGAGTTGCCAAACAATCAAAATCTGATATTACAAGGGCATAACACACACGGCAGTAAAGCACATGTCTGCCAATACATTAGAATTATAATACTTCACCATGTCGTGAAATATTATCGTTCTTTGTTTTTAGCGCAACCAGATGGACTCTGAAAGCGCTTAACAATTAAGCTTGCTGCAATTAAGGTGCAAAGCAAACAAAATTAATCACAAGAACCACCTGTACTCTCACAGTTACCAATTTATTCCTGCTTGGTGACAAGCAATCAGGACAAAATGTCTTGCCCAAGGACACACGCATCACAAATCCAGCCCTGACTCGAACCCACAACCTGAACAATAATTACCGTGCGCCATTATGTTGGTTTGATGTTCCAGACCACGCTACTCCGCTAATTACTTACATGCCACAGACCGATATAAATACGAAATTTTATCTCGTAAATGATAAAATCCATTATACTCAACGGAAAACATTGGTTTGGTGCCGTGTTCACCAATTCAATTATTATTATCATTGAGTCCTTTGTGAGTTTGGCTGTAACGTTTTTGTTTCCGGTTTGCCCTACCTTTCGGGGTATTCCGGTAATCTTGTATTGGTATCACTACCGGAACACATGTACATGTAGCCTGTATATATCATTATTCATTGATGATTTAAAATGGTCAGGAACATCAAGCCGCCTAATGCTTCCGGTTTGCCCAACGTTTCGATATTCAGGTGAATTTTCTTAAATTAAACTTGAAGCTGTGGCACACACACACACACACACACACATACTTGTTTCACATGACTAGTGTGGACTTTCCATTGCTTTCGTGTAGTTAAGAAAAACCAGTGAAAAAACTCATTTTTCTCAAACTGTGAAAACTCTTTCAACCCAATTTTTTTTCTATGATTCCCTTTAGTGTTTCTCTTCATTCTGCTACCGATAAACCTAACCCAAAAATGCCTCTAAACCTGTTTTCCAGAAATGGGGAAACACTGTGTGGACGTGGGCAAGTCCACACAACGTCGGTGCTACCTACATTATGTGGACGTCTTTTGTTCGGAAGTCCACACTGCGTATGTAAGACAAGCTCACCCCCACCCACACCCACACCCATTCTCAAATTTGTATCCTTGTGGAGACATTCCTTTGTTCTCGTGTAGTGAAGTGTTCAATTTTTAAAGTGAAGTTTCAAAATGCTCTTATTTTAACCAGAATTAGTTTCCTTGGCTGAAATTTGGACTTAATATCCCTTTTCTAAAACTCTTCCATTTGCGACGGATCAACCCACCTTGGAAATTCCTAGTTTTTGAGTAAAACCCATATATCTATCTCGTGAAATCCTTGTGGAGACGTATTCATCTATAGAAATTGCCCTGTGGATACCTTTACAATGTTTTGTTCCCTATTGTGTGTGTGTCTCCACAAGGATACGAATTTGTAGTCACGCTTACATAGGCGTAGAAGTGGGATACTTCCTTTGTTCTCGTGTACTAAAATTTTGCAACGTCGCACACTTATGTCGAAATGCTGTTATTTTAACCATCGTTAATTTCGTGGGCTGTAATTCGGACTTAATATCCCTTTTCTAAAACTCTTCCATTTGCGACGAATCAACCCACCTTAGAAATTCCTAGTTTTTGAGTAAAATCCGTATATCTATTTCGTGAAAAACTTGTGGGATACCAAACCGGTACCCGCAAGTCGGTGGACATTCCTTGTGGGGTACTTCCCATTGTTCCGGTGCCCCACAAGGCAGTGTCTGTACACGCACACACACAACGTGGGTGTCTGTCTAGTTTTTATTATTGGACTCTGAGTATAAATGTAGAATATTGTAAATGAACGAATTTGATGGTTACTTACGTACCTATTGCAATTAGTGCTGTCGGCAATGCAGATAAAATCCAGCTTAATCTCATGGCTCGATGGCCCTTACTCATGTTAAACATCTGTGGGAAAATGTGGAAAACATGACAGTTGGTTGGATGCAGAAACATTTCCTAAGTGATAGACGGTTGCAGACGCCGAATGACAATAAATCAATGTTGTTCAAATAAGACAAACTTTGTTTGTTAATAAAAGAAGCAGGAGGTAGCGGCTTAATCAAGATTTTGTGGATGTTCCAATTTTCACAAAAAGGTTTTACGTTTAAGATATTGACAGAAATTCCAATATATGTTAAGCTCTTGCATGAGCTTCTACATGCCTCGTGGTGGTCGGTCGGTCTGTCTGTCTGTCTATATGACAGTCTATCCTGAAAATTAACCAAAGACTTCTGCAAGTCGTTTGCTGGTTGGTCGCATTTTTGGGCGTCGCATTTTAAAGGTCTGGCAGTGATAATTTTTGTTATCGAGTACATCCACGACTTTTATGCAAGACTTATTTTACCACGGCCAGAGCTTAGTGTGAACGCGCATTTGTTTTTGAATCGTTCCTTCTTTTGTCTCTTGACATGCTCTTTAATAATGTCCTCGCCACTCTAAAAACAAAAATAGTCGATTTGTTTACCAGATTTCATTGCTTTATCTGTAAAGTTCTTGTAATATGAAATAAAAAAATATCTATGCTGTCATCGTCATTGATGAGAGTCAATTCATTCGTTGCCGTAACAAAAATCAATTGACATTTGTTTAGACTGCGAGGTCACCAGCAGGCGTGTACCGGTATTTTTTGCCACACGTGACATTTTTCGTTCTCACGAAGTAACACTTACGTTCTATATACCATTGCAATGCATGGCGTGCACTTTGCTCAAATATGAGCAAAAACCTTTTTCACGAGGTAACACTCTCCTTAGTGGTCCGGCAAAGGGACAGAATTGTGCATTTTGTGATAAAAGCATAAAACCTGGTTTGTGATGACTTCATACCATTACAAAAAATTCAGATATGGAGGCATTTCATATCTGCCTCTTGGTGACCTTTTGAGGGGTCGATGATCGTTGAATACTCTATTAATTCCTTTTGTTCTTAAAAGCATCACTTTCCTATGACCTTAGTCAATGTTCAGTCTTCATACAGTGTAAATAACGTCTAAATGCAAAAAAAAATCACATTGACCTTAAATGACCTTCCAGAGGTCAATGACCTTTGTAATAACTGCACTATACTATTCATAGTTATTTAAACGATATACCCTTTAAACCCCATTTTTGTTTTACTAAAGTCATAATGTTAAGTGGTTCATGCTATGAAAAGAATTTCGTATGAAGGGAATCTCATATTGGACCTCTGATGGCCTTCAATGGGTCAAGGAACTTTGCGTATCCAATTTATAGATAATAAGAGGATTAACTATTCAAAACACCACTTGTTATTACCCATATCTAAATATTGGGTATTCTTGCCATGATATGAATTTTCAGATATATAGACATTTCATATTAGACCTCTGATGACCTTTACGAGGTCAATGAACTTTGTATACTCTGATTGCCGATATTTATCATGTCTTATCTTCCAAATGCCATGTATTCATGACCGACGTCTAATCAGAGCAAAAGGAGTGTATTTTAATAATTATTCTACAACATGTCATAAAGTTAGACCCAAAGAATTGTTTTTCATGACCTCTGATCTCAATTTTCATATTTCTAAGGGCAGACGCAAACGTGAAAGAATAAGCGACACATCAGACAAGCATTACTCTCTTACAGTGACCATTGGTCTCGGTAAAAAGGTTAAAAACGTGGCTATCCAAGTCCAACTGGATACAGCAGGGTGTAATAAGTACACAAGAGTGAATATTGCTTGACATAATTATGTACATTGTCCATTACAAAACAGACCCACAGATTTATATTCCAATCTCATCATATTGCGTCTGCCAATAAAACATGAAGAAACGAGGTCAGAGGTAACTTCAACATTGTTTGTGGGTCACTTATACCGTTCTTTGGCACTATTGACGCTTGGGTCACAAAATATGGCGTTTTAGCGAATAAATGAGATAAATAACGACAACTAAGATGTGCAAAGTCCATTGACCCCTTCAAGGGTATCTATACGTCAAATATGATGTACCAACATCTGAAAATTCGTTTCATGGCATCAAGAGTCACGCTTTGTACTTTGGTCATGAAAATAGTGGCATTTACAATTATGAAAATATTATTAATATCCATAAGTAGGCTATTATTTTACAAAGGTCATGACCTCTCGTAAGGTGACCAGATGTTGAATATGTATTAAATGACCTATATATGAACATTCTCTATATAGCATGAACACCTTTCATTTAGACATGGAATCGTGAAAAGGAGATGCAGTTTAGAGAATAAATCTTATAAATAGTTATAACCAGGTTTTCAAAAGTCATTTACCTCTCAAAGGTCACCAGAGGTCAGATATGAATTTTTCCACATCTGATCATTATTTTCATTGTATAAAGACATATGGCATAGACTTGGGTCATAGGCAAGTGCACTTTTGAAGAACAAAAGTTATAAACAGAATATGCAAAGTTCATTGACCTATAAAGGTCACCAGAGGTCAAATATGAAATGCCTTTATATCTGAAAATGTTTTTCATGGCATGAAAACCAAAATGCGAAGTATATACTTAAGCATATTGGGGCTATGCCGCACCACTATTGAGCGCGCGCGCGCTGACCTGAGTTGCGCGTTATTATACATTGAAGCATGGATCCTACACACAAGGATTAACGACTCGGCCCAACTCCTGGTTAGACGCGTGATAACGGCCAGTACTGGTGGCAAATACCATGAATACTTTTCAACAAAGACCACTGCGCGCGGTTGCTTTCAGATTTGCAAGGCTCTTCGCCCGATCTGGCCTCGAAGTCTGTCAAGCCAGCGAATTATATTTTTGAATATACATGAGTCTACGTTTTGGGTCTTTATTATTGAATTCTGATAAGTGATAACTACAAAACCATGGTAATGCCGAGCACAATATCTTTAGCTTTAAGATGAACAATGAAATGTCGCTTTTGTTTCATCGGTTCGGCATCCTCTCTCTCTAAAACTTTTTAATAAAAGCCTAATTAAAAACGAAATTTGTCTCTACGGAGCAAACATGCTCCGTAGAGACATATGTACATTTGAAGAACGAAACATCTGGTTTATTTGATTCTGCAAGAGATCTCCCCCCTCTCCCCCCCCCCTCTCTCTCTCTCTCTCTCTCTCTCTCTCTCTCTCTATCTGGAGAGAAGGGGAGAGAGAGGCTGTAATATTAGATAGGGCAATTTACTTAAAATGCAATAGGCATACAATTCACAGTGACGTTGTTTTGTCGGTTTATGGATCTAGAAGGCAATATCTTAATGGACAACAAGAAGTAAAAGGGTAAAAGGCAGTAAACGAGCAGGATTAACAGATGTGAAGTACAGTAATAATGCTGAAT